TGCCACGGGGTCAGATCCAAGAAGAGCTATGTCGTCTGCGTACTCGATGTCTGTGAGCGGAGGCCCAGGGAGCACTTCGACCCCACAGGCATTAGAGGCTGGTAGTGAGTCTTCCATGATCGTATCAATGATGAAGTTGAAAAGGAAAAGTGAAAGAGGGCAGCCCTGTCGGGCACCACTTGATGTGGTGAACTCAGGAGAAAGCTTCCCGTAGACCTTTACACGGCCGCGGGAGTTGGCGTACAGTGCCTTAATGAGGTTCAAGAATTTATGGGGGACACCTCTGCTCCACAGACACTGTCATAGTGCTTGGCGGTCCACAGAGCCAAAGGCAGCTTCCAGATCACGAAAAACAACCATTGTTGGTTGCTGGAAGCAGTGTCGCTATTCCGGAATCTGTCGGAGGGTGAAGATTTGATCGATGCATCCTCTTGCAGGACGGAACCCAGTTTGGTTTTCAGGGTCCTTCTCTCCCTGTGTTCAGTCAACCCTCGAACGACAATGCCAGAGAGCACTTTCGATGCCACAGCTAACACGCTGATGCCACTGTAGTTTTCACAGAGCGTCCGCGTACCCTTTTTGAAGATAGGGATAACTGTCGACATGCCCCATGCAGGCACGTTCTTTTTGCTCCATATAGCATCAATAAGCTTTGTCAGATGGGTCATCAGGGATTCTCCGCTTCTTTGAAGAGGGCTGTATACAAACCGTCCGGTCCTGGTGCCTTCCCACGTTTCACTAGGGCTATTCCGTACCTTATTTCGTCTTACAACGAGCCATCAAGGTTACATTCCATTCGCCCGTATGCATTATTCCCACAGGCTGTGCTGCAGGAGGCCAGCTGAACTGCTGTTCGAAGTGGTCGGCCCATCTCTCCAGTCGACGTTTTCGCAAGTGAATTAATGAGCTACCTTTTTCACTTGTCGTTTCGCTGACCGTTGCTTTTCTAGAGCCAGTCGATCGTATCAGTTGATGTAGGGCGCGGCTGTTTCCCGTAGCAAAAGCCTTCTCTAACTCCAGAGCTTTCGATGTCTACCAGAGCTCTCGGACTTTCCTTAGACTCTTCACTATTTGGCGTTTGAGGGATTTGCGTGCGCTGTCAAACTAATTGCCCGGCCGCAATCATGTATAGCGACGTCGACGATATCCAGTGAACTAGTGGTCGAAGTGGAGAAGTCAGAGAGACAGCACTGAACAGGGCTAGCATAGCTCGTTTCACATTTTGCCATGCTCCATTCACGTGCTCATTGTCATCAGTGTCGGTTAGCTGTGGAGAGTTGTTGGCTTAGCTCAGATCGATACTGTTGAGCTATGATAGATCTTCGAAGCTGGTGGATTGGCATGCTTCTTGCCGACGTGCGAGGGCCTGAAGGGAAACGAACTGTCAAGCGCGCACGCACCATGGTGTGATCGGAATCAAGTGGTGTGCCCCAGAATAAACGTCAGTCTTGAATTGTGGCTCTCCACCGGTGGCTGGTGGCCACGTGGTCCAACTGGGTCCACCGTTGATTTGTAGTTGGCGGCCGCCAGGTTACGCGGTGCGAACGTTTATGCTGAAAGTCCGTACTTGCCAGAAACAGTTCGTGATCAGCACACAACTGAAAGTCTATCTCCGCTGTCTGTGCGGCAAGCATCGACTACGAATCGACCGCCTAAATGTGATTCCAAGGAGCTCAGACGACTTACTTGAGCATTCAGATCACCTGTAAGGATCACAATATCAGTGCTTTTTTGCCTGGCGAATGGGCCCGGATAGCTCTCGATAGAAAGTATCCTTCTCCGCATCAGAACTGCAGTCCGTTGGGGCATGAGCCGACACGACAAACAGGCACCGCTCCCCATGCCCAGGCGTTGAGCTTGATTGAACTGTATAACCGGACGGCGCAGAGACGACTGTTCATTGGGATACAATCCAGCATAGCGCGTTCAGCTCTGGGGCTGAGTGCGACTCCCACGCCATTTATTCCACCAGTCATCGTTTCTGGGTCACCGGACACACGCAGGGAGAAATGTGAAGTAGCTGAGTTCATCCTTGGCGTTCTGAGATGCAGAACCACGCTCGGGTCTTGTATGCATGTTCCGGAGACACAGCATACATCAATTTTAAGGGAGTACAAGGTTTCAGGGAGCAATGCCTGCTTGCCAATTTGACATGGAGTACGGACGTTAGAAGCTCCTATATAGAAAGGATCTCGTGGATTTAGAAAGGTGTTATTTTGTTTAATGTTTGTAGGCAGCGGGAAGCATAAAACCCTTCGTACAGATGTCTGACAGTCAAATGGCCCAGCCAAGTTTGCTTGTGCGGTGGGAAGGGGTTGGGTAGGGATATCGTTAAACGCTGAACTGCGCGGGCAAATGATACTTCTCGGTTGCTCAGGCCGAGGAAGAGGGTTTGGTTGAGGTATCCCACTCTGAGTCTGACTCAAAAGTCTGACCCACGGGGCAGCGGGAGAATGTAGGGTTTCTTTGGGGACCCTGCCCGGAGCCGACGACCCAATAGTTTGACATGCTCGGCCTAACCCGAGGGCGCAGGGAATAAAGCATTACTATCTCATTCCTGATGCGACTGCACACAGCCGCAAAGGGCTCTTTGGTTTCAAAAGTATTTCGACCGTATTGGATAACGCACCGGCGGTCACGGTCAACCGTTGGGCGATCGGAGTGTGCGGTTTTTGGAGCTGACCTTCTCTAACCCGTCCTTTCTCGGGGGAAGACGGCATCGCTCGTTCCATAAATATGGACATGCAGGTCGCCTGGGGGAATTACCTCACTGCCTTCACACTCCTGTCGCATAGGACAGTACAAATTTACCCCCAGACCGCCTCGTAGAAGGATTACTCGTAGTACGGGGTCTCACTACTCCCCTTTGGCCTTCCTGGCATGATTACACCTTGTGGAACGAAGTTCCAGCCAGTGTAGCCCGCGGGATCATTGCAGCACTCAAGCCCGACCACCACGTGAAGGTGGCAGCTTTAGATCGGGTTTTTTGGATAAGTCTGTCGATAGATAAACAAACTTGTCTCTAGATCTCTCACGAACTTTATCGAAAATCCACACCGCATGAGAGCGCGATCTGAGTAACCGAAAGTGCTTCAGCCAAGGGCAGAGCCGTACCACTGGCAGCTAGGGAAAACGTATAAGAGGTACCTATGCCTCCCAAAACTATCGCGACAAACATCTCCGCATCATGTTGGAGAAAGATGCCATAAATGGACTTGGCTCAACATTCTTTTTGAAGCTCGCCCAATGAAAAACACGACACACAACCAACAGCTACACAGTCCAGCTAATAAGTGACGGCAAGCTGGCAACTCGGGTCGGTCTCGTAGTTGCCCAGTAAGCGCAAAGAAAACCCCACGAACCCCACCGCGGAAGGTGCCAAGATTCCACAGGGCTCAATTTGGTCGTAGCTACGTTCATTTCCCGTCGTTACGCGAATACCTGTTCTCCAAGAATCTTCGCCCAACAACAGCATGCCTTTCTCCGATAGACGGTGGCAAGTCACTTGTATTAACCCGATAAGTCTTACCTGACGTTCAGGCGAATTCGACCCATTACCTAATAATCTTTTGCGTACAAATTTAATACTGAAATTCTGCAACCAGTTGACATCTGTTATACAGAGCTAAACACAAATACAATGCAGGAGATCCCGGAGAACTTCACTAGATGTAGTCGGTTTGTCTCCAGGACTGTTCAACAATAGCGAGATGCAATGCGGCACAACAGCGTCTAATTTGGAAACTATTGAGGCACAAGCGTTGGCCACCACCATTATTACGCCTCGGGTCTAAGTCAAACATGTGAACAACCGTGCCTCAGATTAACTGAAGAGCCCTACCCGTGGAACGAAACCCTAGCGACAACTAGACTCAACTGTTCATGGTGGATGAGAGAGTGAATGTAGGTCGACAATTTTTACGGAATCAGAGATTGAATTTGTGGCCGGATAGCCAGTCTAAACTGATCAGAAACAGCATTTGCAGGAAGGACGGCCGTCAAGACCGCAGCGCCATCTGCCCGCCCGGATTGTTCGGGTACCAAGCACAGACACCTTGTTATCGAAGTTTCAAATCCAACGGAGACTACACACGAACTTTGCCATCCAGCTGGATTACAGGTGCACACCACCGCACCTGGCAAAGAAAAAAGCATCGCAAGATTTTCCGCGACACCATTCAGCATATCAAGAAGGAAAAAGCTACTCGACCGATTCAGAGGCTCATTCGCGAGATTACAAGAATATAATCGTACCAGCCGTTGGTCCACTCACCGACTGTTACAACTAGACAGTGGAGGTGCGCGCGTGCCATTACTAACTGATGCTGTTACCACAACCGCGTAAACAACCTCCCGTTGGTTAGTCCCGTAGAAGTTTAACCTGCATAGACTGGCCACCGTATAGTTACACATAGTCGCTTGATGGTGCTTTAGGTAGCACTGGTTTACCGACAACACTCGCAGCACGTGCATACAGAAACCATGTAAGTCACGGGATAGTGTACAATAAATCCGTCACGTCTTGAGCAAATAGAGTGTAACCTAAAAACACTTGAGAACAATTGCAGCGCAAATAAACCAACATGAGGTGACAATTTCATTCGGAGAGCTCCTTATATCAGGTCACAAAAATGAGAAATCGAAAGGTTATGGTAATAGTGATTGTGCAGTATCAAGCTTACCTACCAGTCCCGCCGATTGTAGAACTGCAACGTCTAAGGACTTGAATACTCTCACGGTGTCCGAAAGTGAAGCTGATAGGTCTCCAAGGTAGAGTGAAATGTTGCATAATACAAAAATGCACTGTAATTATGCAACGAATCCACTCGTCCTACGGAGAGGTTCGCGCCGTCAAAGTGTCCCCGCCCGTACTGTGCACATTAAAACAAGATTGACCTAGGCGAAAGTGAACTAAAAGTGACGTATCTAGTTCATGCTAATATTGAAGTTGGTTGGGAATAAATCCCTTTGAGTTTTATCAGAAACCTCTGAATATAGTCTTCCTCCCGAGTTAATGGCTGTACTGTACGTTTCTTCTTAGTATTTCCTGAGGGACGTAGTAGATTGGGCGTTTTACCGAGAACTACATGGTTCTGTAATTTAATACCGTTTATTCTCAACTGTTGCGTTGCATACCGTCGGGTACAATCATATTGGTACAGCTAGGACAAAGGCACGACTGAAGTCAATTGTGGCTTTCCAATAACCAGCCGAAGTGGTATTCACGGATTCACGGATCGATACACAGGATCGTGGCTTTTGCCCAAGTTTACCGGGTCGCACACCTGAAAGGCACAAGTGAAAAAAGGTGTAGCACTGCTCTTAATGTTCTCAGCACGGGGCAGTATGCTTGCCAGCGCGAGGATTCGCATAAATAAATGTCTAATAGTGCTTTAAA